GAGAGAGAGAGAGAGAGAGAGAGAGAGATGAATGCGTATATATATATATATATATATATATATATATATATATATATATATATATATATTATGTTGTGTGTGTGTGTGTGTGTGTGTGTGTGTGTGTGTGTGTGTGTGTGTGTGTGTGTGTGTGTGTGTGTGTGTGTGTGTGTGTGTTGTTTGGTCTATATATATATATATATATATATATATATATATATTATATATATATATATATATATATATATATATATATACATAAATATGTATATATGATATACATACATATATATACATATGTAACACACCACATACATATATATATATACATATATATATGTATATATATATATATATATATATATATATATATATATATATATATATATATATATATATATATATATATACACACATATCTATCATTCACAGGCGCACTCACACATTCGAACACAAATCAGCTGACAGAGATAAACAGAGGCTCCGTTTAATAGAACACCACAGGAGAGTAGACTGCATACTGGAGAACGGTCGAGACTTTGAAGAGTGAACATCAACGTGTAAGAGTGATCAATCTTTAAAAAGTACCGAACTCAGTGAAGTGAAAGCTTATGAACGGAAACTTTGATCTTGATCCAGGTGAAGAACCTGGAAAAGACAAATGAAATGATATACGAACACCAGAAAAAACAGCAGAAGACGAGACAGTGATAGCGAAGATTGCCCATACACCACAACAAGAAGAAACGAAGAAACCGGCAAACAGACCACGGAGAACCATACCTACGGAACCAGTATCTCAAGGTACCCCTCAAGAAAATGTTATTTCTAATACAAATAACAAACAAATCAAATACCTCAAACTTCAACCATCCAATAAGGTTAACTGAGGCCATAAATAAATCAATTTTTCAAAAATACATAATTGAAATTCATTAAGAGTAATAGGAGATGGAAAAGCCATTAGATTCGAGGTAGTAGAAATATCAAAAAATTGGACCTCTCAATGAAATTAAATACCTAGGCAACTGGGAAATAAACTGTAAGCAACCTGCATCAAATAAAGATCAAGGATGCTCCTATGGAAAAAATATCTCCCAGTAGAAACAGATATAGAAATAGAAGAAATCAAAGAAAAAACCAAGATACTATGGGGCCAGATACATACATAAAAGATATAACAAGGATTCATAAACCAAGTAAAATATCAGGAGAAAATAAATGGATTCCTACTAAATCCCTGAAAATAACATTCAGAGGTCCATTACCTAACAAATTAACAATAGGTCATATAAGTTATAAGGTATATCAATACACATTCCCAATATCCAAATGTTTTAAGTGTCTAATGTATGGCCATGGGTTGATATCATGCAAAAACAAAATAAGATGTAGTAAATGCAGCCAACAAGATCACAAATATAAAGATTGCAAAAATCCACCTCATTGCTTTTTCTGTAAAGGTAACCACACAGCATACGAAAAACTTGCCCAATTCATCAAAAAGCCCAAGAAATAAACAAAAAAAACACAACACCAAATAACTTAGAAGTAAAAAAACTTTTCCATCACTTAAACCCAACAACACAAAAACAGAATCAACCAATACAAAAAAACATAATAATTACCACAGCAGAAATACACAACTCAGAAACAGATTACAAACAACAAACAGATGATAACACAAACACTATACAACAAACAAACCCAAACATAACACAAACATATGCTAAAATACTAACACAAACAAATAACATAACACCAGCACAAAAAACACCCACAAAACAAAAAAATAACACAAACAGAGCAGAAAATACTCCAACTCAATCAACAAAATCAAAACAAAAAAACAGTCAAGAAAAAACAAAAGAACAAACACACACAAAGGAACAAAACATAAAAGACAAGAAACTCACAGAATCCCCCATAACATGGTCTCTACCAACACCACTAAACAAAACCCCAACAATAAAAGAAAAGAAGAAGAAAGAAGAAGAAGAAGAACAAAAAAACAAAGAAGAAAAACCTTCATTTGTTGAAATAACAAAAGGAATTTTCAAATTAATAACTAATATAACCGAAAAATTCAAATCAGACAAAACAATAATTGAAATAATAACAGAGATAATAACTGAAGTTGCTCCAATATTAAAACAAATATCAGTTTGGTTTAATGACTAAAACAATACTATGGAACGCTAGATCTGTAATAAACAAAAAAATAGATATAGAATATCTAATTCAAACAGAAAACCCGGAGATATTCGCAATTTGCGAAACTTGGCTTACAAATAATGACAAATTTGATATAAAAGATTATGATATCATAAGAAATGATAGAATAGAACAAAGGGGAGGCGGCTTAGCAATTTGTATAAAAAATGATATACAATACAAGAAGATTAATCTAAATGAATTACAAAATAAAAACATCGAAACATTAGCTATAAAGATTAGCTATAAAAGAGGATGGCTACACTTACTTTTAATATACAACCCATGTAACAAAGTAAATCAAAAAGATATGGAACACTACATAAACCAAATAGAAAAACCAAAACTCATAATAGGAGATTTTAATGCCCATCATCCGCTATGGAATTCAAAAACAAACCAAAATATAACAAATATCACTGGAATAAACTTGTTTAATTTAATAAATCAAAATAACATACTGATGTTAACTCCAAAAGGACAAATTACTAGAATAGATCCGAAAACAGGTAAAGGGTCTACAATAGACCTAGTTCTGGGCACCCAGAACTGAGTAAATTAGAAGTAGAAGCAAAAATATATGGAGGAAGCGATCACCTTCCAATCATAATAAGAGACATTAATCACAATAGAGAAACAATAGTTAAAGAGGAAAAATGGAAATTCAATGAAGAAGGATGGATAAAATTTAAAGAAGAAATACAAAAAATAGATGTGGACAATATAAAATCACTGAACGAAATAACAGAAATAATAAAAAACATAGGGATGAAACATTTCAGATTAAATAATGATAATAGTAAAAATAAACCAACAAAACCATGGTGGAATAAAAAATGTAAAGAAGTAATAAAACAAAGAAACAAATCATTCAATAAATGGAGAAAAAATCCTAATGAAAAAAACAGAATAGAATACAAAAAACTTCAAATAATAGCAAGAGATACAATAGAAAAGGAAAAAAGAACAAGTTGGTCAAATTTCTGCCACTCATTAGATTTTAGAACCCCAACCAAAAAAATATGGAATTTTATTAAGAAACTTTCAGGCAGTAATAGAATAAATAATTACCCGCTAATAGATAATGATCAGCCAATACAAGAAACAAAAAAGAAATTAAAACTCTTAAAAGAAGAATTCCAAAGTATAATAAACACAAAAACAAAATGCTTAATAACAAAATCAGAATTTAAAAGTTTAATAGAATTGCCAAGTACGAACGGATTAAAAAAGGAGATAACATTAAAAGAATTAATTTCTGTAATAAAAAAGACAAAAAATAATAAAGCTTGTGGCCCAGACAGTATCCCTTATGAATTTTATAAAAATATCCCAAATAACCTACTGGAAAAAATTTTAAACATCTATAATCAGTTGTGGATAAAAGGAGAATATCCTATAGAATTCAAGAAATCACGTAAATCCGATATTAAAACCGGATAAAGATCCAGCAAATAAAAAATCATATAGATTCATAAGTAGAATCTCATGTATAGGGAAAATGCTGGAAAGCATAATCAACAATAGACTAATATGGTGGCTTGAAAAAAATAACAAACTAAGTCAAGACATAACAGGTTTCAGACCCAATAGCTCAACAATAGATACATTACAAATAATCGATTTTCATATTAAAAAAGCTTATAAAGAGAAAAAATATGCCCTAATAGCATCTCTAGATTTAGAAAAAGCTTTTGACAAAGTAAACCATGATGCAATAATAATAAAAGCAGCTAAACTAGGTATAACGGGTACTCCTCTCAGATGGATATCTAATTTTTTAAATAATAGATCCTACCAAATAATAATAGGAAACCAAAAATCCGAGGAAGGAGGAATAAGTAAAGGACTTCCACAAGGATCTCCATTAAGTCCATTACTATTCAACATAATGATGTCAGATCTAAATCTAACAGTAAAAACCAACAAAATAATATATGCAGATGACATAAATATAATAACAATAAATGAAAATCTAGAAGAAGCAAAAATCAATCTAGAAGTAGGATTAAATAAAATAGTAAAATGGGCTAACGACTGGGAGCTTAAATTAAATTTAACTAAAAGCAAAGTAATGTGCTTTACAAAAAAAGAATAAGACAAATACCAATAATAAAAATAAATAATGAAGAACTAAAATTCACAAATAAACATACAATCCTAGGACTCGAATTCGACGCACCAAAACTAAAGTGGAAAAACCATATTAATAACTTGAAAATTAGATGTACAAATAGAATAAACATAATGAAAAAATTATCAACAACAACATGGGGAGCAAACAGAGAGACAATGATAAAATTCTATGATATCTACATAAAACCAAAAATAGAATATGGTATAACAATTTATGGAACAGCAAATGACACAGAAATAAAAAAAATTGAAACAGTTCAAAATGGAGCTTTGAGAATAGCCACTGGATGTTTAAAGACCACTCCAATAAATGCACTCTATGCCCTAACAAATAAAATGTCGATCAAAAATAAACTAAAAGAAAAAGAATTCACCCAAATGTTAAAAATACTAGAAAAAAAAGAAAATACACAAATAAAAAAAATGTTAACAGAAAATATAAAAGAATATAACCCTCAAAAGGATAAAAATAACTTAATCCATAGAATAATAGAAACAAACAAAGAATTGCAAGTGAAAATAAAGATAAAAACAATGTCAAACATAACCCCTATTCCACCTTGGTTTGATATTACAAAAAATATAGAAACAAAATTCTTAGATGAGCAAACAAAAAATATCCCAGAACAAATAATAAGAGCACAATATATAATGTTAGAAAACACACGATATCGAAATTATAAAAAATTATTCACAGATGGCTCGAAAATAAACAACGATTCCACATCAGCAGCAATATACATACAAGATAACAATATAACAACAATATGGAAACTACCAAACAATACAGAAATAATAGAAGCAGAACTCTTTGCAATAAAACAAGGGCTAAAATACATACAAAATAACAAATTATCAAAATCAGTACTATTTACAGATTCTAAATCTGCACTTCAACTAATATCTAACCCGAAACCTAAGAATTCTAAAAGTATGACTTTTGAAATACAAGAATTGATATATACAATGGTAAATCAAAATCAAATAATAATGTTACAGTGGATACCTTCACATAAAAACATAAAGGGAAATGAAATAGTAGATCAAGCAGCTAAAAAAGCACACAAAATAAGATATCCCATAACCATACATGAAGACACAAAAAAACAGATAAAACAGATGAAAAAAAAAAACCAGAGAAACTGGAAAACTCAGTTAAATACAATTCTTAACACAAAGAATTATCTATTGCAGAACACAGAACCGCAGCCATGGTTAAGATCCAAAAATAGAAAATTAGATGTCTGCATAACTAGAATAATAACTAAGCACACAAGACTAAATAAACACCTACATAGAATGAAAATAACAAATGACCCTTACTGTAGATGGTGTCATAATCAAGAAGAAGATATAGAACACTTAATCCTACACTGTCCAAGATTCCACTCCAGCAGAACAAAATTGAAAGAAGCCTTAAGAAAAATCAAAGTAATCAACCCTAACATAAACTTATTATTCACAGGTGCAGATCTCTCCCCAACAGAAAAGTTTTATACTCTTAGACACACCAAAATCTTTTTAAGAAAAACCAAACTAACAGAGATCATATAAAAGAAAGAATAGAAAAGAAAAAAGATCCAGGGGATATAGACTATGCAAAAGTCTAAAACCCTATAAAAGAAGAAAGAAGAAGAAGAAGAGAAGAAGAAGAAAATCACTGCTATTCTCTGCTTTCAATGTGGCAAGTCTCTTAAAAGCTTTGAATGATATGGCCTTACCTCTCAGTAAACAAAAAAGGTGATTGTCCTATATATTAATGATTGATAACAGAAAGAGAGGGAGGTATTGTATGACAACCAGATTACGAGAAACCACTGATAGACGAGGGGTTTTATCGCTATCAGTTTGTTACATCTATTTAAAGTTTGTCATTTTCCAGGTCGAAGGAAAGCATTAAAGATGTCTAACCCAAGAGTTGTTGTCGTTGGATCGTGTATGACTGATCTTGTAAGGTTAGTATTAAGAAATAGCGGTAATATTTTCACTTTTGGGAATTCTTAAGTTGTGAAAAATGTCGAAGTATTTCGTAAGAATTCTGCAACACTCGCCAAGAATTATGATTAGTTGTCCTTTTTTTTTTTTTGCATTGTAAGATCACTGTATCTACACCAATTCAGCACCTAAAAGGAAAGCTGCGTGTTCTTAATACACTGAAAATCATTGATGAATTAAGTTTGGTGTATACTTACCAGACATTATAGTTTTAGTATTCTGAAACTAACAAAATTACCCAAACAACCACTACATATTCTGGTAAGACAGTGTGTATAGATCGCTGGCAAATTATTGTCAAATGCAAAACCATTTCTAGGTTTATCTTTGTTTACTTGCTTTTGCCGATGATAAAGGTACAAAGGCTTTTAATCATTGCATGATGCCAAATGACTCAAATGCTAGTTTTCATGGAATCATAGTATAACTCTTATACAAAGGATTATTGGAGGTGAAATCACTTAAAAACTACATGTCAAGATGCAGGTGATATCTACATAGTCTGATAGTATATCTTATTCTGTTTGAATTTTAACTTTGGATTTCCCTGGTATTATTCGTTTCCTTGCGTTGAGAGCCAATAACAGTGGTTTCAGCAAACTAAAACTATTATAGCTGGACAGGAGACATCACAAGTATATAATTCATCAGTTGCAAATGTTTTAGTATTAGTGTCATGAAACTTTTCTGGTACCAAACTCTAAACATCCTAAGTGGCTCATCAATACCAAATACATTATTTCAGCAGCATGAAGCTTTTCTATTACCAGACTGTATTAGCTAGTTATATTATCTTTAAATATGCACAGTCCTTGCAGTCTAGTATCAAAGGTTATTAAAAGTATTTATTGATGACATAGCACCATAACAACATAGACACCTTTTATTCCAGTAGTCCTCATTGCATATAGAATCAGTTTCATTAGAATGTACACTATACATATATCCATATTCTTCATCCATATACCCCAAGGCTTCCCAAACCGGGTGAAACAATCCATGGACATCGGTTTAGTGTTGGATTTGGTGGTAAAGGGGCCAACCAATGTATTGCTGCGAGGAGACTTGGTGCATCGACAGCCATGGTGGCAATGGTATGGATTATTACTACTTTATTTTGTGTTTAATTTTATGGTTGTTGCTCCTGCATAATGCATTCTGTGGTTCTACTTTAGGATAGTAGGATAATTTTTAAGTCATATGATTGAAGAATGATTTTAAATTTTTTTTATATTTTTACTACTCAAGAAGCAGTTGTATAATATACCAAGGCACTGTAATTACAATATTAAATATTAAAATGAAACAAATACAGTTTGTATATGTGTTTTGTTAAAAACAAAACACATTATGGCATTAGTCAGTGTATATGGTATCATATATAAAGAGTCAAACTTATTTTACAGACAGTGTTTTGAACAAAATGTAATGGAGAAAGATATGTATAAATCAGTATTCTGACAGGTGGGTGATGACTCCTTCGGCCAGAACTACTTACAGAACTTTAAAGATAATGGAGTTGATATAACACATGTTGGAGTGACCAAAGATGCAGCAACAGGAGTAGCACCCATTGCTGTTGATGATTCAGGTATAATACTTATTAGTACTTTAAAGGTCATGCTATAGTAAAAAAAAAAAAAGTTCAGATGTATGTCTTATAAGACTTTATAGAAAATTGCTATAGATACATTGATTTTTTTATACTCTGAAGCAAAGAGAGCAAGATAAATGGAAAAATTAATTTAAATTTTACCAGCCTTGAAACAAATCTAAATTGGGAATTAATACAAGTATCTAATTGGGTGAAGCAGCAGGCTCCACCTTCATTCATTCATTTACTGATGAGTAACATTATTTCTTTAATGCAGTGTTTCAAACTGAAGGATGTATCTTGAATAAAACATGTACACTTATTTATATTTATTTACTTGTCTCTCTTTCATTTCTTCATTCATTCACTCTTATTTTTTCTTTCTCTTTTATTCTTTAATTCTCTCTCCCTCTCTCTCTCTCCTTTCCCATTCATTCATGATCTTTCTCTCCCACTTTCTGTCTTTCTTTCATTCATTTTTTTAATCCCATTACTACTGGAATGTATATATTTTCCAACTGAAACAGATAAGATTCTACTCTAAATTTAACCTGCTTTACCTCAGCTTCTACATCTTTGTCATTGTCCATAAAACAAACTTTGCTTTAAAAATCTGGAAGATCTGAAAGAATATGAGATTAATCTGCATCTGATGCAGTAGATGCATTGAAATAAAGTACCTGATAAAGTTATTTTAAATATTAAGTTTTATGGTATAATAATTATGGCTAAATGTAACTTTACTAGCATTATTCTGCATGACATATGTAGTCCAAAACAATACCTGAGTTCAAGTAAATATTGTGATATATGTCAAATCCTTATTCTTGATTTTATTTAGTATTGTATACACATAATATTTAATCAGAATTCTCTTGGCTAAAGGTAGCCTACCATTAATTCTGGTTTTAAAAAAATCTCAATTATAGACACTGTCCTTGTAGATATGAAAATGTTAATTTTCATTTGATCATCATTGCATAGAAGAACCATAATGCATCCTGTGATTTCCTCTTACAGGTGAAAATTGTATAATCATAGTAGCTGGAGCAAATTTGAAGATGACCAAAGAGAAAGTCGAGGCAGCAGAAAGCATGATAAAAAGTTCATCTGTGTTAGTTTGTCAGGGAGAGATTACTATGGAAGCTACTTTGGCAGCACTGGTTATGGCTCGAAAGCACAAGGGTAAGTTTAATGTTCTTATTTAACCCACTGCTGCCAGGAACATGTACTGTGCATTTTAGTTTTGTATTGTGTGTACACATTGATGACTACAAGTGCTTAGTTACCAAGGAGTCAATTAGTATGCATATGTGCCCTCACCTTTTCTTGATACTATTATTACTATTATTGACATGATAATTATGATGTTATTAACTGTATAATGATGGGTCCTGATTTTTTTGTGCTGTATTATTACACAACAGTGTAGACTGTGGCTAGGCCTTAGTTGTTTACAGCCGGCCCACCCAATGGAGGTCATGATACTTATATATGTCATAGGCCATTACGCATGACAACTATAGCTATAGCCATCTCTGAGGGGTGAACATTGCTGATGAGCAAAAAGAAGGAAAGAAAATGGTGAATAGGTGAGATAATTTGGACTAGTAATTGACTCCTTATGGAGCCATCTATTTGTAAGTATGGTTAACAAACTAAAATTTCATTGGACATGGCATGGATGTACATGTAATCCCTTGCAGCAGTGAGTTGATGGACTCTGGATTTATATGGATAATAGTTCAATGAAGCATAGAATTTCAGGAAGGGTAGTGTCTTACTTAAAAAAGTGGTCTTCTTTAAATGTGATGATAAAAAAGGATAAAGGCTGAAGTCCGTCTCCATCCTCTCCTGCCTGTCCTTGTATTGGTGTATTTGATTCAATATTGATTTTTATTGCACATAGTAGCATTGTTTTATGTTTCAGTTGATGATTACTTCTCTTTTTTTCTTTTTTCTTTCTTTTTTTTTTTTTTTTTTTTTTTTTTTTTTTTGTTAGACAATTTTAGAGTATACTTATTAAAGTCCATAATTTTCTTCCCTCTAGTCAAAACATTG